TTGAGCCATACTTGCACCTGACAGCGGCGTCTCTCTCTCTCTCTCTCTCTCTCTCTCTCTTTCTCTCTCTCTCTCTATCTCTCTATCTCTCTCTCTCTCGCTCTACCGGGCTGAGAAGCAAAGCGTTTTATACCCCTGTTTTCGTCCAGACACAGTGATGGTCAGGCCATCGCCAAGACATTCTATATCCAGGGGTAGAATGAGTGCGCAGTGCAGTTCTTCCCGGATCCCTCTGCTGCTCTGCCTGGAGGAGCTGATTTGTAAATGGAGGCACCTTCTTCTCACAGACACCAGGAGGCAAGGGAAGGGAAGCCTCCAGCTGTCAGGAGAAACTGGAAACCTGAAGATACCCGGGCTGGGCCTCTATTTATGAACTACAGGTAGACTTGGGACATCTGATGCTGGGGGGAGACTGGGGGATGGCAGGCAGGCTGCCTGCACCCCCTGGCTTGAATGAGAAGTGGGAGGGGTGAAAGGATGAGGGTCTCCTTGAGGCAGGAGCGAGGCTGTGGTGTTTTTCCAAGCTGCCTTCCTGAGGCCCAGTTGTGAAAGGCTTCATCACATGGGCCTCACTGCCACCATGGGCAGCCTGTTCTGTCACTTCCTAGCTGGGGCTGGGCTGAGCCTCCTCCAGCTCTCCCACCTGTCATCCCCCTGTGTGAGCTGCCACTCCTCCCAACACCCTTCTACTCCCAGGCCTCAGGGTTGAGGCCTCTCTGGGCCCAGATAGGTAAATCTGGCAGCCCCTTTGTTGGGTCCCAGAACAGACTGGTTTTCTCTGTGAAAACAGATACAGAGCAGGTCTGACAGGGGTGCTGACGGGGACTGCAGGTCCAGCTGAGACACATCTGACCCTGAGGCAAGGGGCACGGCACAAAGGCACCAACACAGGGTCTAAAACACCAGACCTACCACTTGAAACTGTGAGTGTGTGGTGGTCACACACCCTCCCCCAGGCTCAGTTTTCTTAAGAGTTGGTTCTGCTTTTGTGTCTGCCCTGGAATCTGGTTCAGGGCCAGTAACCAGGCAGAGTTACTGGCCAGTTGGCAGAGTCAGCTTTGTCCCTGTTTGGATCCTTGGAGACTGGCCCCCTCCGGAGCCTCTAGCATCTCAGCCCCCAGAGAGGTGTGGCAGCTTGGAGAATCCCCACCATGCCCCCAGGTTAGTTGATGAGGTCTGGGCTGGACACATAGCAGGCACTCAATAAGTGTTTGTTGAGGGATTAAATGGCACAAAACTAGAGCTGGGAAACGCCCTTTGCCACAGGTATGTCCTCCTGTGTGTTCTGCTGCACCAACCACAGTTCCAAGACCAGTTTTGTTGCCTGTTTGACTGAGTCCTGTCCTTCCAAGATATGCTAGGCATCAGACCCCAGTCCACCTTACAGGCTGTACTGTCTCAGACCTTCCTTTTGGATGTTGCCTAGTGCCCATGCCCCTGGCTGCCTCTACCCCTTCCAGAGTCCTGACCCCTGCTTAGGGTGGTCCTGTCTTAACTCCCTATCACTCTAAGGCCCAGTTCTAGCCCTGCAGGGGGCCCACACAGCCCCCTCTATCCAGCTCTGCCCTACTATCGACTGCTTCCTCTCCACCACTAGGACTCCTGGCCTTGACCATTAGGCTTCTAGGAGAGCAGACCCCTGGGTAGAGCTGGCCAAACAAGTCACACTGAAACAGGGGCATCTAAGTTCTCTCTGGCTGCTTTCTAAGGCCCTGGAGTGCTCAGTATAGTGGACTGGGCATTCCAGGAAGAAGGGACTCTCAAGCAAGGCTTTAGAGTCCCTTGGAATCCAGGCTCTTGGTTGGGGAAAGGGCTCTGAGCCTTGAAGAATCGACGTCTTGGCCTCAAGGAGCTGAGTCTGAATGGAGCAGACTCTACCTAGAGACCTGAGGCCACTAGGCCAGGTCTGAGCTAGGTCAGCAGCTGAACTCTCTGGCTAGCCCCAATGGCCCCACGGGAAGGTATCCTCAAATATGGGCTGCCGCGTTAGCTCCACCCCACCTCCCCACTCAGGGCTACATCAACTCTGGGCACTCTCCTAGACTGTCCTCCAGGTTGACCTTGCCCTTGTTCCTATCCCAATCCTTCCCTCTCATTCTAGGCTCAGGCCCAGCAGTATTCCCAAGGGTGTCTGCTTCTGCTGGAGCCTGCCAGCCCTGCCTACTCATTGAGGAAAAAGCACTGTGACTTCCCCTGGCCTTGGACAGACCTGGCCACACACAGAACACCTGGGCATCATGCCGAACCACTGGGTGTGGCCTCGAAGCAGCAGGAGCAGAATTCTTCACCTTCCTAAGCCCCCTCATGTCCGCCCTTCCTTCCCTTGGGTCATGTCCCAGAGGTAAGCTAAGATAATAATTCTTATTAACAGTGGTGTTGTTAATAGCAAATGTTTTCTAATGCCTTCTGTGTGCCAAGTTCTCTGCGGGGTGCTGGAGCGACATAAATAAATAAGAGAAACACAGCCCCTGCCCTTATGGATGCCTTGACCCAGCCCTGAGCAGGACTTGGCATATGGAAAGCACCCAATACGTGTTTATGCACAGAAGAAGAATGCATGAAATAAGCAGTCTGGTTATTCCCAGCAGCACAGGTGCCTGATGGGAATACAGTAAATACATGAAGGCCACCAGGTCAGAGGTAAGGTGTGACCTGGCCACAACACATCCCCACCTTGAAGAAGGCTTCCAGACCCTGTGGCTGCCCTAGGACTTGGTACTCCAGCATAATAGGGTCTCAGCAATACAGCAATCTCCCAAGACTAAGGCCATTACAGGGGAAAAGGAAATCTGAGGGCTTCCATAAAGAAGTTTTGGGAGAGTTGGAGAAGCCACAGAATCTGCAGCTTGTCTGACTTGCTGCCTAGAATTCAGGGTACCTTAGGAGTAGGTTCATACTATGGCCCCTAACAAGGGCCACCCCCAAACTCCAGGTACACAACCTGGCCCTGGTATCTTCCCTGTGTGAAGGCACAGTCAGAAGTAAACCTGATGTTCTCTTAAGTCAAGGATGTCATCACGAACCCATGTGAGGGATGACTGGCCTGGACCTGGATCATTCCAGGTCTGTCCAGACACTGCACAATGAAATGGGGAAGTCAATGGACCAGATTCTAAAAAACGTCCTCCAGAGTCCCCACCCTGCCTTCACCCCCAACCCTGTAACAGAACCTTTGGAGATGGATTACACTACCCAGAGACTGAGGGGCCAGGAAGGTCATATTCAGGAGGACCACTTCACATTTCCCCCGACAGAAGTAAATAGGTAATGAGGGAATTTCGGGATGGAAGCAAGCAGTGTGGGCAGTTTTGAGGGTATAAAACTGGGGGAAGCAAGCAATGTCGAAAGAGGAGTTTCAGGAATCTACTGTGGAATGCATTGGGTGGAATCTTATGCCGACCCTTGAGGATCCCCTCCCCTCAGCAAAGCTCTGCACTGTTTACATTCACTAGGACTCTTGGAGTCCAGCTAAGGGACCTCTGATCACAGGCCATGTTGTACCCCCAGTTCTCAGGACAGCCAGTGAAAGGGATGGCTGCCTCCCACTTTCTACCCCATTTAGTAGGGTCTAAGTGCTGGGGAGCTTCTGGCCTACAGACTTTAGAGAGACCATGCAGGGACCAGTTCTCCTGCTGGCCCTTCCACCTTTGTCTACGTAGAGTCCAAGTCTGCATAGGACTGAGCAGAAACCTCCTACACCACAGAGTGATGGAGAACAGCCCAATGGCTGGTGCACTAATGGATTCAGACACCCCAAAATCACCACACTCCCATTTACACACCACTACCACACACCACGTTTCTCTCCCAGCTGAACAGATAGCAGCATTTTGCCTCCCACAGAGGCACCCACATTCTATCCTGAAGGGCCCCTCCCTTCCTTGGACTGCCCTAGGTTTGTGCCTCTCAAGTAGTCTGCCTCTTTGGGGGTTGCAGAGACCCAGTGGACACATCTCACTCCACCACCTGTGAGGAGCCCAAGAACAGGGCCCTTATCACAGTTTGGCTAAAAGGCAGCAGAGGTTCTAGGGATTTGGGCTAAATTAAAGGCCCCCACAGGGTCTGGAGAAGCAAATGGTGTCTCCCTGATGTAGCCAGACAGAAGTGCCGGGAGAGCCAGAGGGTGGGTGGTGGTGCCATGGTGCCTGCAGTGCCTGTTCAAGGACATCCAGGAGGATAATGGCTGGGAATGGAGAGAAGACCTTGGAGAGAGAAGAGCCCAAACTGAAGAGCTGCACATATTTCTTCCCTTCACACTGCACAGCCACTACCCCAGGTGCTCCAGCTGCTCCTTTCTCCGGAGACCTGGGGAAACAAAGCTCCTGGCAAAGGACGAGGGGAGAGGGCTGTGCAGACAGGGAGGTGGCCTGCAAGGAGCCTGTGAGCAGCAAGAGAAGGCCTGAGTGTCCTGGGGAAGCAGGGACACCTTGCTTCCAGATACAAGTCAGGGGCCCTCTCTTCCAGGAAGCCTTACTGGCCTCCACAAACTACCCTGAGGACCCTTCTGCGTCCACTCCCATGCTCTGCGCCACCTGCTGTCGTCTTGGATCTACGTCTCTGACCCAGTGCTGTGCAGGCCCTTGGTTCAGAGGGCTCCTCACACGACAGGATGGGCCGCAGGTTTGCAAGTAGCACCCCTGACGAGAACCGGAGCTGGGCGCAGCCCCATCCCTAAGTGGGCCCCCCAATCCCTCCTAGGGCTGGAGCACCGCCCCTAGAAGGGACTTCAAAGGGCCGGTGTCCGCAGCCGGGTTTGCGTCCGCCGCCTGCAGATCTGAGGCCTGAAGCAGGATCCAGGCCGTCGGGGCCGTCCAAACCCTGGGGTCTTTTGAGAGCTGGCTGGGGGTGCCGGGTTGCAGGCAGCCGGGACTGAGGGCGGGTCCTCAGAGCCCCCAAAGTGGGAGGGTCGGGCCGGCCGCGGGGCCAATCCGGGCGCGCCGGGAGCGGGGGCGGGGGCCGGGCCGAGGGGAACGGGACCGGGCGGGCCGGGGGCGGGGCGCGGCGTCCAGGCGGCGGCGGCGGCGGCGGCGGCGGCGGCGGCGGCGGCGGCTCCTCAGAGTCCGGCTCAGGCTCCGGCTGCGGCTCCGGCGCGCGATGCCCCATTCCGTGACCCTGCGCGGGCCTTCGCCCTGGGGCTTCCGCCTGGTGGGCGGCCGGGACTTCAGCGCGCCCCTCACCATCTCGCGGGTGAGTCCGGCGGCTGCGGGGCGGCAGAGCGGTCCCGGGTCTGAGACCGGGTCCTCGCGGTCCGCCCGGGACCCAGATCCCCTAGGTATCCTAGGTATCCGAGGCTGGAAGGCGGAGGGTTGGCCTGGGTGTCCCGCACGCTGTAGAGGCGGCTTCCAGGCAGGGCAGGCAGCCCCAGCCGCCCTCCTCCCGCGCTGGGCCTGCCTGCCAGATCCCGCGGAGAGTCTCCCCAAGAGTTCACGCACCGGCCTCTGCGCTGGCCTCATCTGCGGGGAGCCGCTGTGGACCCGGGAAAGACCGGCGGAGTTGGGCCGGGGGCTAGGCAGCCCTACAGAGGCCCAGAAACTTTTCAGACTCATCCCTGCCTGAAGATCTGGGGCAAAATGATTTAGAGCCCCCACCCCCTCCCCTATCAAGGGTCGCTGCCTGCAGAGCTGGGTGACCCTGGGAGGTCTGGGATCCTCGCTGAATCTGAGAAGTGAAAGGTCCATCCACTTCCCACTTTGATGTGAGTCAGTCTCTCATTCATGACCTCAGTCACCCTAAGGAGAAGTGACCAGGAGGAATTTTCGGCTTCCAGGGGAAAGGGAGCCTTAATTGTGAGGTTGTGAGACCCCTCCCCGCAAGACAACACAAAGCCAGGGGCTGGGATAGCCTCAGGCCAGTTCTTCAAGTTTCCCAGGGCCCTGCCTTGCCCCAAGCTTGGGACAGAGGAGGAAAAGGAGTAGGCACAGCCCTGGAGGGTGGCTGCTCTGAGGACAGAAGAGTGAAAGAGGTGACTCAGGCCCTGCTTGAGGGGGTCCCTGTCTAGGGGAGACAGGATCCTGGCCCATCTGGAGGGGCAGAAGAGAAGACTCAGACCTTGTCCTTGGGAGTCCCAGCCTAAGGGACAGAAGAGGAGAGAACCCAGGCCTTGCCCTTGGCGGCTCTCAGTCTGGAAGGAGCAGAGGAGATGACCTGGGACGATCTGAGGGCCATCCCTTGCTCCCACACAGGCTGATCTTGTCTTTGGGGGCTATGTTAGAGTCACAGAGAAGCACCTTACTCCACCCTACTGCTACCTCTTGCAATGGGGGCTGGGCTGAGCTGGCTGGGCTTTCAGAGACTTCTCTCCAGTTCTTGGGAGGGGGTGGGCACCGGGTGGAGCGTAGAATCATGGAATCCCATTTCTGGGAGCCAGGGTGACAGGCAGGCCCAGCTGTCCTAGGAGGCTTCCCACATTTGCCCTCACTGCCAGGTCTCTGGGGTGGAGTGAGGTGGGCCTTCAACACATCCCAGAGCCTTTCATCTCCCACTTACGGGGATTCCTGCTGTGTGTGTGTGTGTGTGTGTGTGTGTGTGTGTGTGTGTGTGTATACGCATGCGCAAGCCTCTGTGTCTGCTTGTGTGTGTCATGCTGTGTGTCCACTGAGGGGGCTGGTGGGGACACTAGGCCGGCTGGCCAGGCACCCTGGGTGTGAGGCCGCTGACAGGCTCAGTGGCGGCGGCTGACGGCTGCAGGCGGCAGGGAGCTGAGACATCTGTTGCCCACGCGGCTGCCTGCCCGCGGAGGATAGGCCTCCACACGTCACAGCCCTAGCTACGGCGGCAGCAGCAGCAGCAACGGCCTTGTTTGGAGCTGACTGGGGATGCAGGCCTCAGGCAGGCAGGCAGTCTGAGAGAGGGTTTGCCAAGAAGAGCCTCCCTTGTCCCCCAAAGTCATGCAGCAGCAGCTCAGGCCCAAGGAGCCAGGATGGCTGAGATTGGGTTTGGGTGGGATCTGGAGAGATTTACAGCACTGGAGAGGCACAGGCTGCAGCTTGCCTAGCAGGTACCTCCAGCGCAGGTCTACAGGGACTGAAGATATGTGGGAGTGTCTTCACCAAGGGGGCTCAAGATCCAGCCCCTCCCTTGTTTCCAGGGCCTCTCCTATCCCGGACCTGGTAGGGAAGGCCAGCCTCACACAGACAGGGAGGAGGCTATAGGCCCAGCAGAACTGGGGGCTTGCAGTCTCAGCCCGTGAAGCCTTGGGGAGCCCCAAGAACATCATCCGGGGCTCCTTCCCCTCAGTGGGAGATGAAAGGCTCCAAGATGTGTTCAAGCCCCACCTCACTCGGCCCCAAGGACCTGGCAATGAGGGCTGTAATGATGGCTGGCCTCGGCCAAGCATCCAGGGTGTGCCAGGCCCCACCCTAATGGGTGTTGGTAAAAGCTCCCTCCCGGGAACCAGTCCCTGGAATGAGCACCACCTTATGCCCAGCCTCCTGTGGGGGCTTTACATGCCCTGATTTTCTCAAGTAGTCCTTACAGCAGCCTTTAGAAGTAAGGACTCCCTCTGGCCTTACACGGATGGAGACACAGGCACAGAGAGGCTAATGTAATAGACCCAGAGAAGCAGAGTGGAGACAGGAGGAATCCAGGCAGTCTGGAGTTTGCTGTGACTGTACGGAACAATGTGGCACCTGGTTCTGACTTGGACTCCCAGCCCACAACATCTAGGCTGGGTGGAGCAGGGTCTGGGAATGCAGCCACTACCGGTGAGGGGCTGATTCATGCCCTTGCCGCCCACCTTACTTCACTGTTCCTCTCTCTGTTCCTTCTTTCTGTTTATCTTGTACTTAGGTGCTAGAGGGATCAGCCTGAACTCCACTCTGTCCTGTGACTTCCCTACTTAGAGCCCTCCATGGTTTCCAGCCACCCAGGAGAAATGCCAGCTTCCCACCCAGGTGTACAAGACTCTGCAAGATCTGGTCCCTGCCTCTTTTCTGACTTCATCTCTTTCATTCTCCCCTCACTAATGATGCTTGGGCCATACAACCCTCCTTCTACTTTCTCTCCAGATATGCCATTATACATGCTGGTCCTTCTGCCTGGAACAGTCTCTCCCTGGGACACTCTCTCTTCCCTCACCCCTTTTGGAAGAAAAGTACAGGTGTTAAGAGCACAGTTTTAAATTTGGAACCAGGTGGCCTGGATTAATATCTTGATTCAGTCTTTTATCAATTAACTGTCCTTCTGTGCTTCTCGGGACCTCGGTTTCCTCATCTAGGAAATAGGCTTGCTTTCAGGATTAATGAGATAATGCATGTAAAGGTGGCTGAGACAGTCACAATTTCCTGGCCTCATGCCCTCTCTGACCGGAACTCCCCTAGCTCAGTAGTACTGGCAGCATCCCAGCCACCCCTGCTTTCAAGAAACTTCCTCCACCCACAGAAGCCTGAATGTACCCCTTGTGCTGGCTGAGTCATCCTGCCGCCATTAGCCGCCCCCTAAAGAAAGACTTCTCTCTGGTGTGGGGACTAGGGCAGGGCACCCCTCCCCCAAGCTTCTCTTTCTTCACCTGTAAAATAGAGACAAGAACAGCCTCTGCCATACCAGGTGGTTGAGGGGTTGCTGTGAGCTAGTTATGGGTAAAGCATGGAGCCCAGGCCCTGGCACAAGGCAAGTATCCATGAAGGGGAGGAGGCCGGAGGAGGGCCTTGAGGGGAGGGTGGGATGGTACGAAGTGGGTATCTCCCCCAGGATGACAGGCTTGCACAGGTACCCAGGCCCTACAAGTAAACATTAATGATGAGATGGTTGGCTAAAGGTGTCATGCTTCAGAACGTTTCCTTGAGGCAGCCTACTTCAGGGCAGGTCACCTTGGGCAGTGCCAACACCAGGCCTCCAGCCAAGGAGCTGCCAGCACGTCAGGTTTGTCTACTCACTACTGAGACCTGGCTGAACTAAGCCTGCGTGGGCTTCCAGGAGTTCCCACCAGTAGGAGCTCCCATCCAAAAGAACGGGGTCACTGGCAGCTCTTGAACCAGCTGGGCACTAGCTGGAGAGGCTGGGTAGGAAATCTATGTCTAAAGGTTATGTTGGGACCAGGGCAGGATGAGGGGTGCTCTATTGCCTAGATTCCCCTGGTTTGCTTATGTAGGTCTCTCTGTGAGTCTAACTCCACCCCCGTCCTACCCTTCTTTAGTTGACCAGCATTGTAAGAGCTTCCAAATGTGAACACTGCTTGACCCTGAGGGGTCAGTAGTGGCACTGAGGTAGCCTGAGTTCCTGTCCTACAGGAGAAGTAGAGGTACAACTCTGACCCCCAAGTCCAGGCTGGCAACTGGAACTGGATAGCCCTGGACTTGCCCAGGAAGGTGATGTTCAGACCTTCCCTTGATTTATTTAGAAATGGAGTCTTGCTCTGTCGCCAGGCGGGAGCGCAGTGGCACGATCTTGGCTCACTGCAACCTCTGACTCCCTGGTTCAAGCAATTCTTCTGCCTCAGCCTACTGAATAGCTGTGACTACAGGCGTCTGCCACCATGCCCAGCTAATTTTTCTATTTTTAGTAGAGATGGGGTTTCACCATATTGGCCAGGATAGTCTTGATCTCCTGACCTCGTGATCTGCCCACCTCGGCCTCCCAAAGTGCTGGGATTACAGGCATGAGCCACTGCACCCAGCAGACCTTCCCATTTTAATTATAATGAAGTATTAACATGAGCAATTTAAGGGGGAAAGGTGGGAGCACACAGGGTAGTGAGATCCCAGAGAGGCTCCCAGAGGAAGTGGCGTCTATGCTGAGACCTGAAGGATGAGGGTGTGGGAGTCAAAGGAAGAGTATTCCAGGTAGAGAGATCAGCTTTTGCAGAAGTGTGGAGGTGAGCGACATATGGTACCTGTAAGCCTCCCAAAGACATTTAGATGGTCTGGACAAAATGTGGGTGTGGAGGTGGGGATGAGAGACGAGATCAAGTAAGTAGGAAGGCAAGGTCACTAAGGGTTTGAATGTTAGGTCAAGGGGTATAGTCTGTCTGGGTGGGGCCTTGTCTGTGTAGGGTATCTGTGACATGTCCATGCTCTGTATGTATCTGTGAGCACATATGTCTCCATGTGTCTCTGTGTCTCCTGCATGTCCTTGGGCACATATCTAGGCTGCAAGAGCCCAGAGGAAGCCCTTCTCATATACCTCCATGCCCTGTGAGGCCTCCAGGTGCTGGAGTTGGAGGTATTTCCAGCAAAGCTGCAGCCAGGCTACATGGAGACCTCAGCCAGCCTCTCAGCTTGCCCATCCATAGGCCATGCTGCTGGCAGGCCACCCTGGCTAGGTTCTGAGGTTGGAGGAGGTCTAGAGCAGAGACCACAGTAAGGCTACATCATGACTGTGCCCAGCCATCTGGCCTGTCTGCCCGCAGGTCCATGCTGGCAGCAAGGCTGCATTGGCTGCCCTGTGCCCAGGAGACCTGATCCAGGCCATCAATGGTGAGAGCACCGAGCTCATGACACACCTGGAGGCACAGAACCGCATCAAGGGCTGCCACGATCACCTCACACTCTCTGTGAGCAGGTATGTGCAGGGTGGGCTGGGCTGGGAGGATTGAGGGACCAGGTGGGCAGTTATGGGCAGCCAGCATGTTGGGTGAGCCCCAGCTTCACACAGCCCCTCTGCCTTCGCTTCGGGGTGCTCCATCCAGACACAGTCCTAAGGAATAGCACTTTCATGAGGCCCTGGCAGACACTGTTTAAAGCTGCAGGTGGCTTAAGAAGGGAAGAAATACCCTTTTAATTTAGGCTAGAAGTGTGTTGGGGCACTGAATGGCAAGTGCTGCAGGCAACTGTAATAAGACCTTGAAAAGCCTCTGGGGCATTTGTTTCAGTCCTTTCCCCTCCCCTGAGTGACCAGCTTGATGACCATTTCAAAGTAGTTTCTTGTGCAACACCTCACTTAACCCTCATTTACCAACTTAAAAAAGGTAAAACCTACTATAGTCTCCACTTCACAGATGAGACAAGTGAGGCTCAGAAAGGTTAGAAGGTGCTTAAAGTCACACAGAGAGGGAGTGGGGTAGCAAAATTTGACCTCAGGGCTTTCTCCTTAGTCTACAGACCCTTCACTTAGCTGCTGATCACTCCTACCAGCCCCACAGCTGTCCCCACCATGGCCCACACCTCTTCCCTGGTTAAATCTGGATTTGGGAAAAGTTCCTGCTATGGACTGTGTAATGCTGTGCAGCCTATCAAAAAGGGGAGGACAGCAGGTTGCCAAGCCCCATCTGTGTCCCATAAATGGTCCTGGGATGGAAGGTCCAGCAGGGGACTAGGTAAGGGGACCTAACCTTGCTCAAGTCCTGGGTCTTTACTCATCTCTGAGAAGCAGTTGGCCTAAGCCTGGCTGAGTGGGATCTCCTCACCCCCCAGCCCCACCTCGATCCACAGAAATCAGGCATAACTTATCAGCTCTGCCATGTTCACTGCTGACAGGGACTTTCACAACCCCCTGTGGAAGGGTGTAGGCAAAGCCTCCCCAAACCACAACACAGCTAACCATGCCTCTGAGCTGGCAGGGTGGGAGGTGAGCCACTGGCTTGGAGCCATTAAACATAGTGGAAAGGCCTGTGAGGGAGCCTCTGTTTGTGCTTGGCCCATGGCCAGGTCTGGGTTGGGGTCAGGACCCCTGACTGTGCCCTTGGCACTGAGTGGGCCCAGCTGCAAGTTCACGACCTTATATGTTCTACCTGGCACATGGTGAGGATGCCCCGGCTTTGGAGTTCAGCAAAGCTGGTCCTCATCCAGCCTCTGGAGCTTTAGGTGCCCAGATGACCTCTATGAGCCTGGGTTTCCTTTCCCATAAATGGATCACATTCATCACCCTCCTCCACACTGAGATACAGGCTGGATGGGGGAAATGTCAGCACTACTCTGCCCACGAGTGGCCTCTGAAGCCTCTCCACTTGGCTGGGATCCTGGCCCCTGACTCACCTCCAGCCTTGACTCTGTGTGGCTGAACAAGGGCAGCCCTAGTCGTAGTGGAGTAGTGGGGAGGAGTGCCTGAGAGGGGGCCTGAGTCAGGAGCTTCCCAGAGCATATAATGTCAGCGGAGGGTTGTGGGGTGGAGATCCCCCTCTTTCTTTCCTTCCTTCCTTCCCCTGTCCTTTGTTCCAAACCAAGCATGGATGGAGCCAGAGGTTCACTGACCTGTTCTACTCTGGACATTTAGCCCCAAAATGTCACTGGCCATGGAGCAGATAAGAGCACATTCTCTACTATCACAGAGCTGGTTTGAGAATTATGCTGTGTTGACACATAAAATTATCCATAAAGGAGAGAGAGGGAGAGAGAACTATGCTGTGCTCCAGCAAGTGATTTAATCTCTTGAGCCCATAATATCCTCAATCAAAATTAGGGACTATTTTGTGAACTGGACATTGAGTGACGATGATGTGCCAGGCCTGCTCAGTCAGAGTGAAAATCTGAGTTCTGCCCTGCAGCCTCCATCTCCAGCGCTCACACATGCAGACTCTGGGGGATCAAGATATGAGGGCCACATTGACCCTCTGAGCCAATATTTCTTCTCCTGGACACCTTCCCACTTGTAAGCTTTCCGACTCTGCTCCCTATCTTGCCTGCTATGCCAGGACCTATGCCTGGGCCCCAAAGACACTCCTCCCCGTCCCCGCAACACACAGATTCACGGCAAGGGCTCTGCAGGGAATCAGCCTGGTGAGCTGGCTGGAGTGAGCTACTCTGTGCTCTCACTCCCAGGGTTACTGAAAACCAGCTTCCCTATGTGCCCTCTTGTGTACGGAGAGCTCTAATCCCCCACAGACTTCCCCACAGAATGAAAAGTGTATCAAAGGCCCAGCTTCCCACTGAACTTATTTTGCTTTGAGCCCAAAGCCAGGCATCCAACAATCCAAGCAAAACCATACTTCCTAGGCGTGTTCTATTGGTCCAGGACCTTCCTGACATCAACTCCAACAGTGAGGCCACCAATAGAGTCCCTGTTGTCCATCACATGTGGTCCAACGTACCTTTGCACGGCCTACCCTTTGGCTGTCATTTTGTTTTAAGCGCCCGGCCTGGGATGAGGGTTGACACATGATTAAGCCTTTCATTCTGATCTGATGCACTGAGCCACCTTAATGGCTCTGGGTACTTTGTGCCCTCTGACCCTTAAACCTCAGGCTTGTACTGCTCTTCTGAGAAGAACTTCAAGGAAGTATAAGGCCAAATAGCCACACAAGATGTCTCAGCTTTATCCCAGAGGAGCTCCAAGTAGGTAGAGGCCACAGTTAGAGCTGTGAGTTAGAATAGCTACTTGGGAGCCTGGTTGAGGGGACTAGAGACAGAGACCATGGGGCTGATGTTGCCCTAGGGCAGCAGAGCTCTATCAGCCAGGGCCTGGAAGGCTGTAGAGTAGAGAGGTAGCCTGCAAGGAACTACAGAATGGGCAAAGGCGAGGAAGTACAGAGTGAGTATGGACCATAGGCATAGACAGATTATTAAAACCCTCTACTGAAGGGGCGGAGAGGCAGGGGTAAGCTGCCAGATCAGTAGTGATACCTCGAGAAGCCTCAGGAGGCCTCTTGGGGTGAGTTGGAGAACATTATTCCCCTTTGGTCTAACCAGCCTGTCTTCACACCCACCTGCCAGTCCAGGGTCCATGCCCCTTCCCGGCCTGCCTTCTCACAGGGCTACTGAGTGACAGGGCTGGGGTCCAGGCATGTAGCCTCTTGGCCTGCCTGCCCTGCTTATGGCAGGTTTACGATGTTTTTCTCCCTCCTGAGTGGTGTTTGGCTTTTGGTTTCTATGGCGAAGCAGGAATTTCCTAATGGCCTGTTTCCCATCTGGGCTGGGCAGACTCGTTGATGACTCTGCCGGAGGCAGCAGCAGAAGGAAAGACACACCCCTCACAGCCTCCATTCCACCTCTCCCAGGGCTGATGGAAGCCTGACCCCACAGCCCACCAGAGGCTGTAGATACCCAGGGGATGAGTGGATAGGCTCCTAGCTGGTCAATGTGTGAGGCCTGGCTTGCCGTGCTGTGAGCTGGGGGTCTTTGAGCTGAGCTTCTTTAGGCCACGAAGAGGGTGGAAGTGTGGGGAAGCTGCAGAGCCTCTGTTGCAACATCTCCAGGAACAAGACCAGAGAGGGAATGGGCAGAGCTGTTGGGGATGGAAGCATACAGCCCTGCTCCAGGAGGATGGCAGATCTAGTGTTGTGGTTCATTGCCACAACAGTCACCATTGTGGTACAGTGGAAAGCACTGGAGTGGTGTCTTTCTACCTGTAGAGCACTAGCCCAGAGCTCAGCCCATCTTGATCCTGGCTCCCGAGCATGGTGGGCATGGTAGGAAACATATCTGACCATCACAATTTCTGCTGCAGGCCTGAGGGCAGGAGCTGGCCCAGTGCCCCTGATGACAGCAAGGCTCAGGCACACAGGATCCACATCGACCCTGAGGCCCAGGTATGTACAAACACTGCCTAGCCTGGCCTGGCCTGGCTGAGTGAGCCCAGGGCAGAGAGGACAGCATGCAGGTTCACCTACAATGAGTCTCCTCACTGGGGCTCTCAGATACACAAGACAGAGACTGATGCAGAAGGTTTCTCTGCAACATGCCCATACCCCATTCCCTGTTCCTCAGATGAGCACCTGTCGTGGGCTCTGTCTCTACTCCAGGCAATCCTGGATTCTGGACCAAGGTGCTTATGATGGCCAGGAGCTGGGCTAGGCCTTGGTTGGGGTTATCACACACCCAGCTGGACTTTACTCTGGTGCCCAGTGATGCCAGACCAGGAAGAAGTCACTGTGCTTGCAGCAGGTGGGGGGGAAGTTAGGGGGAGAAGTTAGTGGCAGTCTCAGGCCATGGAGTGACCTCAGGCTATGGGACACTCCTCTGGGTGCCCTATCCAAGCCTGAAGTTCTCTGCTGGCCATCCTGTGGTGCTTCTAGCAGAACTCAGGATGCAGGCCTGTCTGCCCAGTCACCTTTCTGTGTGTTAACAGAAGTCATATCTCTGGCCCTGTCCTCAAGAAGAGTGAGGGGGCCAGGCTGGTCTAGGGCCTTGTTTTGCCACGGCATGAGGAGTAGCCAAGTGGGGAACGACTGAGGTATCCAGAGCCATCTCTGGGCCACAGAGTTTGGGTAAGGAGACTGGGATGTCTGTGATAGAGCCAGAACCGTTGGTCCCAGCATGTAAGACCATGGCCTCCAGGCATACTTTTGTCCACTCTCTCAACCTGGAAGAAAAGGGGCCAAGACAGGGAGAGGCTTCACTGAACCAGAGGGAAGGATGTGCCCTGGCTTCTCCCTCACCTTCTACCACAATCCCATCTTGCCCTATCCCCTACCCTGCCTGGCTGGCATCCCTGAAGCCAGAGGCTTACCACCTGCCAGGCAGTCCCCATTCTGGCAGGGGAAAGGTACTTAGAAGTTCTGGGCTAGGGGAAGCCAGGGACCAAAGAATCCCAGAGTAGTCACATGACTCAGACAAGGAGTCAAAGAGGGCTTCCTGGAGGAAGGGATATTGAAGCCAAGACCTGAAGGCCTAGGAAGGGCAAGGCAGGCAAATGGGTACAGGAAGAGGAAGTGTGGCCCAGAGGTGAGGTCTTGTACCTCAGGTTCAAAGAAAAGAAAGGTCCAGGGGAAGGGAGGGCAAGATGGGAGGAATGACAGGACAGAGGCAAGAGATGAGGTGGTGGGGCAGGGCTGCAGAGAGGTTCTTGGGCTTCTCTATCCTGGACCTCAGGGATTCATGGCCATATCTGTGTCTCAGAAACTTGCTCTTGTGGCCCCACGGACCCCAGACCTTAGGGGCAGGGGTAGATGTTGGCACAGACAAATAAGCCAGGCTTGCCATGGGCCAGGCAGAGGGGAGCAGCATGGTGTGGGCCCCAAGCTCATGTGTAAGGCCCAGCCTCCCTCAGAAGCAGCAGTGCCAGGATGGACAGGACAGGGTGGGAGGGGGTTTAGTTTTCCAGGAGAGGCTCAGGGCCGGTGGGCCTGGGGTGCTGGTGACTGTAGAGCAACTCCCCCTGCCCCCGCACTTTATTCTCACCGATTCCCTTGAAGACCAGGCTTCCAGAGGCTCAGACTGGAGAAGGAGGGAGTTTCCCCAAGCACCAGGGCAGCCCCTCAGCTGCTGCCCCACTTTTGTACTTAAAAGGTCATGGGCTCCATGGGTGGTGACAAAAACACCCCACCCCGCCCCTGCAGGGCTGAGTCCTTGCTAACACAGACACAGGGCCCATTGTCCCCATGCTGCTCCCACCCTCTGCCTGAGTCGGGGTGTTGGGGAGGGGGTGGAGTGAGCTGGAGCCATTGGAGGAGGAGGAAAGCACAGTTGGCCCTAGGACCAGCATAAGGTACCCTGGCACACATCCCTGAGTGGGATGGGACAGGGCTAGCTGGAGCTTCAGGACCACCTTCCCCATGGGGCCATAGGAGAAGCTCCTTCTCCCAGGCCTGTTGTGGGAACACAGGAGGCACTTGGCACAGCCCAGGGTGGAGGAAGGATAGTAATAAGGCAGGGTTTTCTGGAGGGAGTGGCAATTATGCTCAGAACCAGGTGATGGGGAGAAGCAAGCCAGGTGGAGCAGGTAGTCCTTGCACATTCAGCCTGTCCTCCCCAGACCAGTAGAGAGCTGGAACTGAGCCTCTAGGAGATGGCACCTGCTCATCTGAACTCAGTGCCTGCCTCCATCCAAGTTGAGTGTCCCAAAGCAGGTAGGTACCTCCATTCTGCTGAAAAATCCACCAAGGCTTCAACAACCAAGTAGGCAGCAGACTGGTACTCAGAGTGGAGGAGCATGTGGTATGAGGCGCACCACCCACAGAGGGGGAAAATCCAGGACTGTGGGCTCAGGAATTCCCCTGAAAGCCATTCATCCAACAAGTATGTGCTTTGTGCCAGGCACTGTGCAATTGTCTTATTTCATCTCTACAAAGAACCTGACATGGAGACCAGTACATTCTCCAGCTCATAGATAAAGAAACAGGTTCAGAGAGGTGAAGTGACTTGCCCAGTTAGGGGATAACTCTGGGACTCAAACTAAAACTGAGGTAACCATATGTGTCCTAGCCACTGAGTTCAGGCCTAAAGAGGCAGCTGCATGGGTGGCCATGGGAGGGGCAATGGCTCTGATGGCCCTGCAATGGACCCCCGCACCCTGCTGGGTAGGAGTAAGTGAGGGCCTCCTTCCTCCCAGTCCCAGTCCCTCCGACTCCTCCCTCCCACCGAAGCTTCTGCCTGGAGGCCCAGCCCCACCCCCACTGGCCACAGCCCATCTGGTACCCATTAGAGGCAAGCCCTGCCTGCCTGCCTGCTCCACAGTCACATGTGTGAGAGCGCTCAGGTTTCTCAGGGGCTTTTGATGGGTCTGATGCGGATAGGAGTCTTCCTGTTGCTGCTGCATTGATGGGGGCCACCTGGGCAGAAAGACCCTGCTCTTTGTCTGTTGGGGTAGGAGAAACGGAGGGGTCCCACCCAACTGCTGGTCTGCCCATTCCCCAAGTTCCCACCCTGCAAAAAGCAGGAGACAGTCAGGGCAGAACCCCACAGGCTCAACTAAGCCTCAGAGCTGCCTAAGTCCAAACCAGGGCTCTTCCTGCTATGATAGGCATCCTTTCCTGTCCACACTGGGCTCCCTGTCCACACTGTAGAGCAGAGAGGAGGTTTACATGTCCCTTCCCAGGCTGAGGCTAAGACCAACCCCATGGCCTGGACTCAGGCATCACCCTAAAATCAGGCTGCTCTGCCTGCCAGCCCAGTCTCAGCCATGGAGGCCACCATGGCCATCCCCAGGGTGACCAGTGCTGGCTCCAAGTCTATGTAAGCATGTATGTGTGGTTAGCAGTGTCTAAATAGACCTGCAGGTGCATATGTGTTGTCCTTATGCATGTGTGTGTGTGTCTTCAAAACATGCTTGTGAGAATATGCATGCCTCTGTTTACATTGCTGTGGGTGTGCTTGTGTGCACTTGCAAGCTGGGAACAGCACAGCTCTGGACTCTACAGGGACAGAGATCCCCAGTCCCCACTCAGACCCATACGCACAGAGATACTGCCCTCTCCTCATGTCTGAGGGGGCAGGTTCAGAGCACTCCTCCCCAAAGTGTTTCAGCCATGAGCACCAGGCTGGCTGTGGGTAGTGAGGTAGAGAGACTTGAGCCCTAGCCTGATCTCTGCCGCTCATCTGCTGTGCCTGCAGAAGGCTTCTCATTGTGGCCTGGAAAGCAGGAAATGGGGAACAGGTGCAGGCCCAGAAGGGGCTGACCTCACAATGGCATTCTTGAGCCTCAGCCTGCCCAAAGGGTCTTGAACACACAACAATCAAGGGCCCTTCCTGACTGCAGGACAGGAGTTACCTTTTTCGAGTTTCCAGCCATGGGCCCACCCAGTATCCACCACAGTTCAGATAGGTGAGAAGGCTTGGCACCAGGACTACCTCTGCCAGGAGGCCACATACCCTGGCCTTAAAAGGCTTCTTGGGATAGGCCTGCCCTAGTACTATCCCTTCATGAGTGGTGGTGGGCAGAACCACTTCAGGGCTCACAAGTCCAGGCTGAGTCTGAGCTGCTCAGGTTTTTGTGTCTGACTTTCTAAGGACATTTCTCATTTCTGCAAGGGCAGAACCAGTCCCCAGGCCCTGCCCTTCCCTGGAAATCCCTTCCCTGGCTGAGCACCACAGGCCAGAGGTGCCAGAGCAGAGGTAGCCAGCTGACATCCACCACCTGGCACAGCAAAGCAGGGTAGAGGTGGGGTGGACAAGGAATGGCCAGAGGTCAGAGGATCTCCCAGTGCCTTAGGCCTCTTGTCTCATAGGACGGCAGTCCAACAACCAGCAGGCGGCCCTCAGGCACCGGGACTGGGCCAGAAGATAGCAGACCAAGCCTGGGATCTCCATACAGACAACCCCCTCACTTTCCAGTCCCTCACAATGGCAGCAGCGAGGCCACCCTGCCAGCCCAGATGAGCACCCTGCATGTGTCTCCACCCCCCAGGTAACACAGAGATGCCTTCGGTGCCATGCCCAGAACCCATCTTAACCCCTGATCCCTCAAATCTCACTCTGTCCCATCCTGACCCCTGACACTTGATCCTTGGGTCTCAGCTGGTTGCATTCTGACTCACAAGCCTCACCAGACCCTGAGTGCATAGTGAAAGCTGGAACTGCATGCCTGTCCCTCTTCTATCTCTTTCTCCCTCCCAGCGCTGACCCAGCCAGGGGCCTCCCGCGGAGCCGGGACTGCAGAGTCGACCTGGGCTCCGAGGTGTACAGGATGCTACGGGAGCCAGCAGAGCCCGTGGCCGCGGAGCCCAAGCAGTCAGGCTCCTTCCGCTACTTGCAGGGCATGCTGGAGGCCGGCGAGGGCGGTAAGACTCCTGCCACGTGTCCCCACCTGCCTTCCCCCTCCCTGCGGTGCCCTGGTTGCCCCCTGGCGACGCCACATCCCGCCTCCCAGCACCCGCCCTCCTCGGTCTCTGCGGCCCGGTCCCACACCCTTGCTACGCGTCGCTTCCTGATTCCCACTCCACTCCCTGTCGCTGCCCCTCACCCCACGACCGCCAAACCGGTTCCCCAGTCTCAGTGCTGATGGCCCCGGAAACGGGGCCCAACAAAACACCCCGCAGACATGGAGTTCTGACCTCCTCACCCCGTTCATGCCATCTACGCTCCGGGTTTCAGGAGAGCGGCACGGGCCTGGCGGCCCCCGGAACCTCAAGCCCACGGCCGGCAAGCTGGGCGCTCCGCTGAGCGGCCTGCAGGGGCTGCCCGAGTGCACGCGCTGCGGCCACGGCATCGTGTGAGTACCCGTCCCCGCTGCCCCTCCCGGACCCCAGCCCTCCAGGGCCCTGGATGCGGGCGCCGGGCGCCGTCGCGAACCCGGCAGTCACTCGACGCTGTCCTCTCTCCTTCCCCTCATCAGGGGCACCATCGTCAAGGCGCGGGACAAGCTCTACCATCCCGAGTGCTTTATGTGCAGCGACTGCGGCCTGAACCTCAAGCAGCGTGGTTACTTCTTTCTGGACGAGCGGCTCTACTGTGAGAGTCACGCCAAGGCGCGCGTGAAGCCGCCCGAGGGCTACGATGTGGTGGCGGTGTACCCCAACGCCAAGGTGGAACTCGTCTGAGCTGGGACTCCGCTCCCGCCCCTGCTTCTTAAGGTCCCTGCTCGGCCCGTGTAAATATGTTTCGCCCTGTCCCTCTAATAAAGTTCCTCTGCTCGGCCTTGAACCTGCCACCGAGCCTGCCACCCTCCTGCGCGGGCCATGGCTCCGAGTGCAGTAGCATCTGCTCAGATGCCAGGCCTGTCCTGGGCTCTGGGTGCAGTGGTGAGCAGGACAGGCACCGTACTTCCCTGAAGAGGGCCACAGCCTGGGTGGAAGGCAGACCTGAATCACAATGGGGCAGCTCTAGTAATATGAAGACAAAGGCGAGGTCTGGGGTGCTGCGTGTGGCGCGGCAACAGGAGGTCTGACCAGGGTGGGGCCAGGAAAGGTGTTAGCTGAGAACTAATAGATGCGGAAGGCAGGAACTCTACACGGTGGGGGTGGGGGGGGGCTGTGTGTGCAAAGGTGGTGGGGGGAGCTCGAGAAAGACCTCTGTGGCTATCATTGGCACTAGCTGAGGCGGCCCCTGGCAGCCTCAGGAGCGGTCACTCACCTGGAAAGCGTGACTTGAGCATGGAGATCACCCGGGCCACCGCGGGGCGTCCACATTTCCTGGCATTCTCTCTTCGGGTTTCTTCCACCCACGTACACTTTATTCTCCTCCAAGACCCCCTTTTCTTCGCCTTCCTCTCTACCCCACCAGGGGGCGACCTTAATTTTCTAGACAGAGATGAGAAGGAAGGTTTAGATAGAAAAGAACACTTGCCCAGGGGTTGCTTTTCCCTCCAAAAGGCTCTCTCCTCTAAATAAATTCCACCTCTTCTCAGAGTCCCGCATTTACCGCGTGGTGGCTTGCCTTCGGCCTTGCACGCCCCGGCTGCACACATCGTCGGTGAATTGTGGCTGTTGACACTGGAGGAGTGTCCTAGACTCCAGGTCGCGTGGATCTACCCTCTAGTTTACTTGCTTAGGACAAGAAACTGACTTGTTTTATTTAGTGCATATTTAGTGAGCCCAGAGTAATGCACATTTGTGCTGCTTTCAATTTTGTGCTATGGCACACCACAAAAAACTGTTACAATTCACATTCATCATCATCATGAGATAGTACCCATTTCCTCGTGCTCCTCCCAACTCACGATGTTTCTTTTTTCATTTTTTGCCAGTCTGTTAAGTAAAATATCCTATGCAGTTATTTTAATTTGCATTTCTCTGATTACCAGTGATGAGCATTCAGTCATTGAGCATTTATGGTGTGTTTGCTGGGTGCCTAGCACTAAGGGAACAGAGTGGTCCTTACTCTCAAAAGAGTGGTTCTTGTGTAAGTTACCCACCTTTCACTCATTTTTTCTGAGGCTTAACTTCTTTTTAATGATTGGTAGGAACTTTTCCTAATTTTGTACTAATCTTTGTTACTGGATTCTAGTTATCCGATCAATTTTCCTGTTTCTGTATAGTTACTATTGAGTTTAATAGCCAATCTCTCCTCCTTGTTGGTCATTTACAAACACATTGAAGTATTCTTATACATTTCCAGTTGTCAGAAGTTGAGACTGCATGCTTCGGGCTCTGGAAAAGCAAACCTTTCTGAACTGTGACAGGGTTACCCTGAATCTAGAGACTTGCTTGGGAAGAACTGGCATTAGTCTTTTCCTCCAGGGCAGACTGTGATATGCACTTACTGTGCATTTATTCAGATGTTGTGTCTGCCTTCGCTTAAGTTTTTATTTTCCTTTCTTCTCATAGATCTTCTGTTCACGGTTAAATTTGTGCTAGAGATTCCTTCTAAAGACTTCTTTTGCCTCCTTCTCCCTTCCCTGAGGGAGCACAGTTCAGCACAGTGGGCAGGTGCTCATAGAGCAGTGAGGCAAGGCAGGGTCCTGGTCCTGCAGGTAACCCCAGACCCTGTCTGGCCCTTGTCTCCTTTTGCTCCCCAGGGGGTCAGGCAGTGTGCACGGCAAGGCCCCAAGGGCGCCCCGCTGTGGCACTGCACAGGTGCGTGCACACACAGTACATACACATGCTCTCACTCACATTCCCTGCAACCACACCCAAATAGGGTGCCATAATGGTGAAGCTGGTCTTGAACTCCTGGCCTGAAGTGATCCTCCCATCTTGGCCTCCCAAAGTGCTGGGATTATAACTATTAACTCCCAGGCAGAGTTAATAGTTCCCATTCACATGCCCTCTGTCCCATCCCTTCCAGTTTTGCCTGGTGCCTCTGGCACAACTTCTTACCTTTTTGGTTAGACCCTGACTCAGACTTACCTCTGTCCTGCCCAGGCTCCATCTAGGCCAGGAACTGGGAGTTACAGGGGTCCTGGAGAAGCACCCAGACTGAGGCACATGAGCACACACACACACTCACATATACACCGGGCTTCCCTTCCTCCCACCACCTTTCACTTCACCTTCCACATCAGGATTCTGCAAGCATTCTGCCTAAGCTGTCAGGGGGAAGTAAGTCCTGGAGCAGAGGTCCTCATTCCCGGGCCCATGGACCATGGCCTGTTAGGAATCAGGTTGCACAGTGGGAGGTGAGTGGCGGGCAAGCCAGCAAAGCTTCATCTGTATTTATAGCCACTCACCAGTGCTTGCATTACTGCCTAAGCTCCACCTCCTGTCAGATCAGCAGCGGCATTAGCTTCTCCTAGGAGCACAAACCCTATTATGAGTTGTGTAAGCAAGGAATCTAGGCTGTACATTCCTTATGAATCTAATGTCTGATGATCTGTCACTGTCTCCCATCACCCCCAGATGGGACCATCTAGTTGCAGGAAAACAAGCTCAGGGCTTCCACTGATTCTACATTATGGTTAGTGTGTAATTATTTCATTATATGTTACAATGTAATAATAATAATAGGAATAAAGCACTTGAATCATCCTGAAACCATCCCCGCCCCCCATCCATGGAAAAATTTTCTACAAAACCAGTCCCTGGTGCCAAAAAGGTTGGGGACTGCTCTCTTGGAGGGCAACTGCTCCCTCCTGCATCCTTAACCTCAACTCACTCAGTCAACTAAATGTTTATTAAAAGGTCACTCACAGTGGCTCACACCTATAATCCCAGCACTTTGGGAGGCCAAGATGGGAGGATCACTTCAGGCCAGGAGTTCAAGACCAGCCTTGCCATCATGAAAAAAGCCCATTGCTGCTAAAAATACAAAACTTATCCTGGTGTGATGGTACTCACCTGGAGTCCCACCTGCTTAGGAGGCTGAGGCAGGAGAATTGCTTGAACCTGGAAAGTGAAGGTTGCAGTGAGCCAAGATTACACCACTGCACTCCAGCCTGGGGTGACAGAGCAAGACTCTGTCTCAAAAAATAGAAATATCTATTAACCTCCTGTGTGCCAGGCATTGTGTTGCACACTAGGAAAACATTTTGAACTAACATGTAAAATAAGCACAGACTATCAGCAGCGCTATTAAAGAAAGAAAGAAGGTATTACAGTAGAGCATAAGGGAGTCTCTTCATGTAGGGAATCTGGAAAGGCCTCACAGATATGGTAGCATTGGGGCAGAGAATGAGGTGGTAAGATGGCATCTGTGCAGGTATCTGGCAGAGAGCTCAGGAAATGCAAAGGCCCTGGGCAAGCAGTGACTGAGGTGGTGTAAGCGAGGTGGCTGGTAGTAGAGGATGAGGTCATCAGAGAGATGTGAGAGGGAGAAGGCTACCTGTGTTGGCCCCTGTAAGCCATTGTTCCATGGCTAGCAGGGCTATACAAATCCAAAGGCCGAGGGAGCTGAGAAGCCAAAGAAGTTGACAAATCCAGTTTCTCAGAGAGAAATATATGATAGGGACTTACAAACAGAAGGGCTGTCTCAGGTGGCTGTAAGATTTGATCCTCCTCACACCAACCATCCAGAAAGTATCCTTTATATAGCAAGCTTTTAGGTAAAACATGTGCAGCTGGTCACGTCTTCACACTTTCTTGCCAAGACTCATGACCGCTGGGGAGGCTACATAAGCATTTTATGAAGCTTTCTATGCTATAGGCATTGTTTAAAGACCTCGCTGATGAATATCTTGGCATGTACGGGTTCATCAGGGTGATTTCTTCAACATGGTGTCATGGCCTGGAACAGTGGCCCACACCTGTAATCCTAGCACATTGGGAGGCCAAAGCAGGAGGATCTTTTGAGACCAGGAGTTTGAGACTAGCCTGGACAGCATAGCAAGACCCCTCTCTACAAAAAATAAAAAAAATAAGCCAGATGTGGTGGCATGGACCTACAGTCCAAACTACTCAGAAGGTTGAGGTGGGAGGATCTCTTGAGCCCAGGAGTTCAAGGCTGCAGCAAGCTATGGTCTTACCACTGCACTTGAGCCTAGGCAACAGAGTGAGACCCTGTCTCAAAAAAAAAAAAAAAAAGCATAATTCTTGGCATGCAACAAGCTGTTCTCCTACGGCCATGGTAAGGACTTTGACTTTTACCCTGAGATGAGAAGCCAAAGGATTGGGATGACCTGGAATTATGCTTTAACTAGGATCACATTGTCTGCTGTATGGAGAATAGACCCTATGGGGCAAAGGTTGACACAATGAGACCAGTTAGCAAGCATGACTGCATTCATCCCTAATTAATTCCTAACTAGCCCACTCTCCTCAGTCCAGTCACCACCATCTCATGCTGAACAGTGTAATGGCCTCTGCCTGGCTTCCCTGTCTCCTGCTTGGCCCCTCCCTCAATCCTTTCTCCACATAACAACTAAAGGAGGTTTTTCTTTTTTTGAGACGGAGTTTCACTCTTGTTACCCAGGCTGGAGTGCAATGGCACGATCTCGGCTCACCGCAACCTCTGCCTCCTGGGTTCAGGCAATTCTCCTGCCTCAGCCTCCTGAGTAGCTGGGATTACAGGCACGCACCACCATGCCCAGCTGATTTTTTGTATTTTTAGTAGAGATGGGGTTTCACCATGTTGACAAGGATGGTCTCAATCTCTTGACCTCGTGATCCACCCACCTCGGCCTCCCAAAGTGCTGGAATTACAGGCTTGAGCCACCGCGCCCGGCCCTAAAGGAGATTTTTCAAGTGCAATTCCCTGTCAATTTGTTTATCATAGTTTTTATGGCTCCTCACTGCCCTTAAGACAGAGTCTAAATTCCAAATCCCAGCTCA